CCTGTTCAAAAACAAGACAAAACCAAACAAAAAACAAATAAAAAACCAAGTGAAAAACACAAAGCATTTGTACAACTTCCTCTATAAAATGTTATCTTTAAGATATGGTGACTAAGCCTGCTGTGTGACACATATAAGTCCCTTGAGAGTAAGAGCCATGTATTATTCTTCCATTCTTCAGATAGCAGAGCAGCAGACACTCAGAGCACGCTAACATACCTCTTCAAGCTTAAAATCACTCTTTCACAAATCAAAGCATCTCTCAAAGAGGGTGAATTCATCCTAAATTCCATATGATAGAATTGGGACATCACTCAGGCCTCTGGCCTTCCAGACATGTCTGTTCAATTCTAATGATTTCCCAGAAAGCCAAGGCAGACCCAACCTTAGTGTATAGGAGATCAAGGCAGACCTATCCTTAGTATATAGGAGATCAAGGAAGACCCATCCTTAGTATATAGCAGATCAAGGCAGACCTATCCTTAGTGTATAGCAGATCTACAACTTCACATTCCTATGTTCCTGGGTTTCTTAACCTCAGCATTAGAGACTCTGTGGGGTGGGTAGTTTATTGTTGTAAGGGGTTGTCCTGTGCACCACTGAACCATTCAGACACCTCTAATCCCTACTTACTAGATGCTAGTAGTAGTAGTATTCTCTCTGTCCTGTCCCTATCAGTATGACAAGGAAATAAGTTTTAGATTTTCTCTTTCCTGGTGTCATTGCCTCTGGATTTCCTTTCTAGGTTTTCCCACACACCAGTCACCAGGATGGTGTCTGTGAAATTTAGGCCATTTGATGAAATTCAGACTCATATGTTAAAAGTGCTCTAAGAGAGTCACACAGCCCAGGACAGAGTCCTAGCTGATTGTTGTGGTTGGAGGCAGAGTTTATCACTTAGCCCTGCCTCTCTCTGACATCTCCCTTAGATCTCACTCAGATACACACTCAGATCTATTTCTAAATAATTCCGTTTTATAATGCTATACATGTTGGTGTTACTTAGATTTTGCTTGTTTGTGTCTAAGATTCTCATTCCTTCCCATAAGGAATATATCACTGCTTTCTAAAGGTTCAATTTAAATTTCATTGTCCTGGGAAAACTTAGCTGGTGCTTCCTCGAAGTCTCAGCATTTTGTGCAGTCTTCATTGAACACACTAAAGATTCATAAGTACTTGTTCACAAGGAGAGAATTCCATGCGGCTCTACACTTATTCTCCTTGCACAAGGCCTGGCCAGAGGAGAGATGAAAAGCTTACACTGGAAGACAGAAAGGGGAAGTGCCAAAGACTGTCTCGAGTGTGGTCTGGTGGGAGACAGAAGTCGGGCAGGTGTGTTAGCATTGGCTCCATAGCTAGAGCAGCAGGTCACACTTCTCAGAACTTTCAGATGTTTCCAGGAAACCCCAAAAGATGGAAAGTGATGATAATAGAAGAATAACACAGGCAAAGGATGTGGCGCTGAAATTAGGGAGATTTGAAGACAAAGGGAGAAGGTCTTCAGGTGGACAACCCAGTAGATGCAAAATGGTGGAGAACGATACATCTACAGATTACTACCTGCATGCCACGCACAGTTCTAACAGTATAATATTTAACTCATTGCCTGTTCACAGCAACCCAGTGGAGCAGGTTTTGTTTTATGGGTAAAAGGCCATGAGGCCTGGAGAGGTTTGTGAATCTGGTAGCCATGTGCAAACTGCAAATCCAAGCCATGTGGTACGGTGCTCAGTGAGAGCCAAAAAAGAATTTGGGAGAGCTGGCTGAATGGTGGCCTGCTAGACCCAGGTGGCTTCATGGGAGTGTCAGGGTCCCAGCCATGAGGGTGAGGGAATTGCGCTATACATAGCCTTGAGTAGTAGGTGCTGGAGATCAAGCATGTTAAGACTTAGGGGAGTTCAAAGGCACAAGGAAGCTCATTAAGAAGTTGCCAGAGCTGCTCCCCTGAGAATCAGGGTTCTCTGGAGCAGAATTTCAAAGAAGAGCTCCTCAGAGTCCTGACTCATTCCTCACGCAGAGCCCAGGAGCTGGTAAAGGGGCTTGAGGGTTGGTGCAGAGGACTTGAAGCATGAGAGCACCCTCATCAAAGACATCCCTTCTGCCTGTTCTGGTCTCTCTCCTGTCTCCTGTCTAGAGCTCTGGTGTCTGAGTGTCTTTTCACGCCTCAGCCTCTTGTCTGTCCTGTTGTTTCTCTTTCATTTCATCTTTCCTGACTCCATTACTTGTATTGTTATTTATTTCTGTTCAAGATCTCTCTCTCGTTCCCTCTTTCCCTGTATCTCTGTCCATCTCCCTCAGTGCATTCACTGGCCTTCAGCTTCCAGTGAGGACAAGAAGAAGTAGGAGATGCTGGTGTCAGGATGTCAGGAAGGCTGAAGTGACAAACATCCAAGTTGGGACTGAAAGCAGGCAGGTGTCTCCATGCGTTCAGAGATTGGCTGGTTTCAGACTTTGTTATTGTTGGGTCCAATGTTTTTATTTTCTTATTTTTGGTCCTGATTCTGTTGCTCACTGTAATGTTTTTCCTCACAGTGGATAATGAGGAGGTTAAAAAAGGAAATAACTTAGAATTATCTAATATATTTGACACAGATACATGTCAGAATTTCTGACATCATGTGGACACTTCAGATATTCTGTACCTCCCCTCATTCTTCTCCATCAGCTACAGTGGAAGGGGGTCCCTGCTCTACTTTGAGTTAACTTCCTCCTGTGTAATCTGGATCCTACCCTTTCCTGATTCATTAAACCCTGGTCCATGATGTAGTGTGTCAGTTTCTTGTGTTTTTACCACTCTTCATTAACTGACAAAGTCCATCACCATACGAAGAAGCCATAATTCTGCTATGACAAAAATCCATATTGTCCTTGCTATGGAGCTCCTGACTTAGACCTCTTTTCCATTTGTGCAAATGTCTTAGAAACCCAGCTATGCTGGCTTCTCTTAACACACTTTGGAGCTGTTTTCCCAAAGTCTCTTTTCTGCTAAAAATAGTGGACACTTTGGTTCTTGTCTTGTTGTCTGTGCATGTTTGATCACAAAGCCGACTTGTCTTTGAAGCCTTTGATTTTCATGTGCCATGTGTCATGGGCCACCTTCCCTTGGTCCCTCAAACACATTTATTCTCTGGCTTCTCTCTTTGAAGCCAGCCCTCAAGTGTTGCAGTTTTATAAATCTCTGCTTTCGGCTCTCTCCCTCTGTATGCTCTTCTGGGTGACGTCATTGTTTGCAGTAACTTCAGCTCTCACAGACATGCTGATGGCACTCAGAGTCCCGCCACAAAGCTTTCTCTTCGGCTCTAGCTGTGTCAGTCAACAGACACAAGAAGTCTCATAAGCTCCTGAGCCCCAAATTAGAATCATCGTGTGTTCTCCTCATTTCCTTCTCCAAACTTTTCACTTCTATGCTACTCATCTCAATGAATGGCACCCTTGCCCTCCATTCCCATGTCTGGACTGCATTCTTAGCTCCTCTTTCTCCCTCAGCATGCTTTAATCATTTCCATTTCCTAAAAACTCTTCTCTAATGCCTACCTTTCATATCACTCATCACTCCCTTACTTCTCACTCTCTCCTTGCCTTCCCGAGTAACTGCAGAGGTTGATGTCCTCCTCCTCCCATTTAGTTTCCATACCACAGCCAGAGTGATTGCTCCCAGATAAAGATCTGATGCCTATTTGATATAGTTTTTCCTCCTTCATTATAAAATTCACTCTCTGTAGTGTGTTTTGCAGGGCATGATAGGCCCTTCATGGTTGACGCTTGCTTACCGTGTCCCTTCTGGTTTAGCTCAGGCTTCCTGACTTCACACATGGTCCTCTTTGCAGAGTGTATCCTCTCCTGCATTTCCCTCTAGTTAGCATCTGCCCACTTCCAAAGCCCAGTCTGAGTCTTACTTTTTGCAAGAGGCCTTTGGTAACTCTTCAGATTGAGTTAGGGTTGCTGCAGCTAGCTTTCTCCAATAAGACGGGGAGGACAACTACAATTCTTTGCCCTTTAGCTGGTCCATTTCCTGTCCTTATCACCTGTGATTTCTGTCACTGCCGGGGTTGGAGTAAGAAAGGGAAGAGGCAAGGGACAAAAGTCTTGAGTTGATCCATCCTGTTTTCATAATCAAATGATGCTTCCTGTTCTTCACTGTTCTTTAAAATTGATTACTTTTCTTATAAAATTCTTTCATTGTGATTAGTTTTAAAAAGTCCAGTTTGATAATGTTTGTCATTCAGTTGGTGTGCATTGTATACATACATTTTATAACTTCTGTTGTAATCAGTTTTAAATTTATCATCTTACTCCTTGTTTCCTGTTTGTCCCCAATGTTCTTTATCCACATTTTGTGCCTTAAATTATGTCCACTGTACCATTTATTATATTTTAAGCTTTGCTACTGTATTGCCCCTACTCCCCAGAATCACCTCAGATCCATGAAAATATGTGACTGACTTGTCACAGAGTATAGTTTAGTTCCAAATGATATTTTCCTGCTACTCCAAGCTCTAGTTCAATATGTAATAACTGTGTCTCAGAGGTGCAGATACCCACAAGCTCTTTGAATAGTCCAGCTGCAGCCAATTTTGGAAGGAGTTCCAAGGTGGAAGCAGGCGTCCCTATTTGGCATGAGATACATAATAAATGCTAAATTCTTAAATATTCAATTCTTTTCTGTTCCTCTTTGAAATTTTTGAAAAACTACATGAATAATGTGTAAGACATTCATTTTAGATCCTCTTTTCGTAAATTCTACATTTTGAAATGTGGAATGTAGCATTTGGGATCTCAGAATAAACTGGGATTATATAGTATAATAGTAACATGTTGTTTCCTATAAAATGGAAGTTCTTTTTAAAAATTTGCTTCCTGACTTTGAGAATGTCTTAACATGTACTTACTCACTTGTGTTTGGCACTTTTATGAATAACAGCAGGGCTGGAATCTGGAGATTTAACCTTCTTGAATCATAGCTGTTTTTTTTTTTTTTTTTTTTCTCTATAGGAGAAAGGATGCAGGAATTTCTTTGGAGAAACCACAGCTCTCTTACTGAGTTCATTCTTCTTGGATTCTCTAGTAATGCAAAGATCAATCTTATTCTATTCAGCGTCTTTCTCATCCTCTATCTTACCACCCTTCTGGGCAATGGGCTCATTATCACCTTGATACGCATAGATTCCCGCCTCCACACACCAATGTACTTTTTCCTCAGTGTCCTATCCATTCTGGACATGGGCTATGTTACCACCACAGTGCCCCAGATGCTGGTGCATCTGGTTTGCAAGAAGAAGAAGACCATCTCCTACATCGGATGTGTAGCCCAGATGTACATCTTCCTGATGCTGGGAATCACTGAGTCTTGGCTTTTTGCAATCATGGCTTATGACAGGTATGTGGCCATTTGCCATCCTCTCAGGTATAAAGTCCTCATGAGCCCTTTGCTGTGTGGGTCACTGGTGGCCTTCTGTGGGTTCTGGGGTATCAGCTGTGCTCTGATATATACTGTCTCTGCCATGACTCTTCCCTATTGTGGCCCCAATGAGATCAACCACTTCTTCTGTGAAGTGCCTGCTGTCTTGAAGCTGGCCTGTGCAGATACCTCCCTCAATGACCAGGTGGACTTCATCCTGGGTTTCATCCTGCTTTTGGTCCCACTTTCCCTTATCATCATTGTCTACATCAATATCTTTGCTGCTATCTTGAGGATCCGTTCAAACCAAGGGCGGCTCAAGGCCTTCTCCACCTGTGCTTCCCACATCACTGTGGTCACCATGTTCTCTATCCCGTGTATGGTCATGTATATGAGACCCGGCGCTAAGTCCTCCCCAGAAGAAGACAAGAAGCTGGCTCTATTCTACAATGTCATCTCTGCCTTCCTCAACCCCATCATCTACAGCCTCAGGAACAAGGATGTGAAGAGGGCTTTCTTCAAGGCCTTAGGCTGGGGCAAAGAGTCAGAATGAAGTCTCAGGACTCAGGAGCATTATTACCTGAAACGAAGCCAAAGACATAGCCTATAAGATTTCTTTATCCAAATTCCTTCTAACGTTCAGTGGGCGCACATGACATTTCAGTGGGAGAGAGTAGTGGAGACTGTTTGAGAAGACTGCGGGGAACTGGGAGCTGCGCCGCGCCGAGAGTTGGGCAGGGACAGCCTGCGCCTGCGCCTCCGCCTCGGTGGGCGCCCGGGTCTCCTCGCTGCGAGCCTGAGAGACCCCGGCTTCTCCGGTGCCCGCTCCCTCAGCCCTAGTTTTTCCTGCTGTCACCTCTGTTGTTACCGCTTATGCTCTCCATTGTGGCCATGGAGCCGCTATCCTGCTCCTGCTCCAGATTCCCAGCACCCCAGAAATGCAGACCCCACGGGCGAGCGACTCTGCCCGCGAGGGCACCCCGCAGTCGGCTGCTTGTGCCTCTCCCAGCAGGTGGCCGGGCACTTGTGCTGCAAGGACAAAGTGGGCATATTGCAGCCTCCAGATGGTACAGTCTTGAAGCAGTTATAGCCACCTTCAAGGGGCCCAAGAGTGCTGGACGGTTTGTGCTGCAGATTGTAGTGACCATGTTCTTCTAGAGCTACGAAAATACTTGACAAAATATTACACCTGGTCACCTCCCACCGCACCAAATGATTTACTCCAAAAATTGGAATATATGGAATAAATTTAATGTCTGTACAATGGATGTAAATGTAAAGATAGGATGAAAAAGCCATGATCATTTTGCCTCATCCGAGAGGGTTCAGCAAGAGGTCAGCAAGTGCCCATTAACGGGAGAGGTTGGATTCTTGGTGCTTGGCCTGAACGTTTGTCATGTTCATTCTGATAGCTGTGAGATGCAAAACCAGCACTGGGGAAGCTTAACAGGAGCGGCTCTAACGGGCGGGACCTCGAAGCTTTTTCATAATGGGTTGGGCTTAAGAAATGATGCTTTGCTGCCAGTGTTAGGAAGACTAAGAAAATTTGGCAGTGGTTTGAAAGCCAGCAGCAGCTTAATGTTTACACAAGTTCATTGCTATTTGTTTATCCAGGTTCATCTCAGCCAACCACTGCAAAATCAAATGGCAGAACTTTGGCGGAAAAGTTTTTGTCCGCAGGACAACTGTCAGACACAAGTACTGGAGTACAATACTGATGCTTATGTGTTAGCTTCCACATGAATGGAAAAATAGTCTTCAGTAGGCAAGAAGTTATCCAAGGTGTATCCTCATCACAGAAAAATGTATTCAAAAAAGCATTGCAGTCAGACTTCATTGAAAGTTGAGAATATGGAGCAAAATAATGGGTGAAAACCATGTCACAAGAACGTTTAAACATAAATGTACCTTCCCAACTGAAATGTTTTCTATCATCCTCCCACAGGTTGCCAAGAGACTGCAGAAGTAGAAGTACAAATGATAGATCTTGCTCATGTATTCCCTAGCAACACAATAGATGAGGGATGTGTTTATGGTTTAAAGAATTTGCTGTGCTTCAAAGTATTTGAAGCAATTCAATCTTTTTTTTTATTTTTTATTTTTTATTTTTTTTTATTTTAAGGATAAAAGGAGGGAAACATTAACAGACATACAACATTTTACAACATATCACAAGCACAATACAGACAATACAGAGTTCCAAACAAAGTGGTAGGGAATTAACAATGGTGGTTGTATTACATATTGATATCTTCAAAGTGGCTTCTCATGAAAACAGATATAGACATGCAATACTGGTCAACCAAAGACTCATTGACAGTTTCTTTCAGCATAGAAACAGCAGATAGAAGAACAACCATGTTATCTATCCTGTATATACATACATACAAAATTTCTCCTTCTTTCCCTTCTCTTTTCCCACATCCCAGAAGCCCTTTACTCTTCGGTGGTTTCCTATCATTTCACAGTGTCTATCATACCTCCGAGTTTAACTTAACTCTTTCAAGTTTTACACTAGTGACACAATGTGGTGCTTGCACATGTATGTTTGATTTATTTCACTTATGAGTATGGTCTCTAGTTGTGACCATTTAAATATAAAGGCCTCGAGTTTATCTTTCTTTACAGCTGAGTAATATTCCATTATATAAAAGTACCATAATTTTCTTATCCAATCCTCGGTGGATGGACATTTGGGTTGCTTCCACATTTTAGCAATTACAAATTGTGCTGCTATGAACATAGGTGCACATATATCACTGTGATATGATGTTTTTAGATCTTCTGGGAAAATACCCAGCAGGGGGATAGCTGGGTTGAATGGGACCTCTAAACCTAGTTTTCGGAGGAATCTCCAAACTGATTTCCACAGTGGTTTCACCAGTCTGCATTCCCACCAGCAGTGGAGAAGGGTTCCTATTTCTCCACAGCCTCACCAGCATTTGTTATTGGTTGATTTCTTAATGCTAGCCATTCTTACTGGGGTAAGGTGGAATCTTAGTGTTGTTTTAATTTGCATTTCTCGAATGACTAATGATGTTGAACATTTTCTCATATATTTATTTGCCGTTTGTATCTCCTTGTCTGAGAAATGTGTGTTCATCTCAGCTGCCCATTTTTGATGTAGTCTTTTTAAAGGAGTGGGCCAGTTATACTGAAGAGCAGCAGTCATTATCTCTGCATTTGCAATGCTATGTAAAAAGTTGTATTGTGAGCTGACATTTTATTTGTCTTTATACTTTTGGTAGAAATGTTGTCTTTTTATATACCCTTACTCGGGAATACTAATTTGTTCATTAGAAAACTATGCAGAATAAAGAAACAGGAATGTGAAACAGGGACTGTGGTGGTACATGGCATCAGTAATCTATCTGGCTCAAGCAAAACGAAAATCATTATTCAGTCATAAGAATTTATTTAGGTTTCTGTAGCCAACTTACCATGAAATATCTGTTCACCCAACCTTGACAATGAACCATATCTCACCTATTACATTATTAAACACCTTCAGAAATCTAGAAAGCACAAATTGATGTCCTTAGTATTGGTATGCAGGAAGTTACTAGAACTGGAGAAAGTCCTACTTCAGAATTAAGTACTGTTTAGGTTTTGTACTAAAAGTTCAGATCAGCATATAAAAGAGTGCTTCTTAGTAAAATGATTTAGAATTGTTGCATTCCAAAACCAGATTTTCCTTTGATTTCCATTTATTTATTTCAAAATACTATGTGAGAAATATAATTGAAATAATCATCATCATCAACAACAACAACAAATATCTTGATGTTAAGGGCACTAAATATTCTTAGCAGGGTCAGAAGAACAGAGTAAATTATTTTCCAGGAACAAAATGTTTTTCTTTTAAGTTCTTTGTGGCAGGCTATCACGGCGTTCCTCATGAGAACACCCTGTGTTCTCCAGGGTGTTCTTTTATCTTGCTTTTTCCTCTTTAGCTTGGCCCAAGCTCACTCTCTAGAGCCAATTTCTCCCTCATTCCTCATTTTTACTTTATCAAATGAACTTGGCCACTGCTTAAAAAAATTCTTTATGGCAAAATTGGAATTGACATTAGCTCCATTGTGAAAAGTGTCATAAACCATGCAAAAGCTTTTGTTCAGAGGCTTCAAAAAGGTGAATAGTTGTTGCTTTATTTCTTGTTCAAATAATTATTGAGAATTTCTTTCCTTTTAAAATTCATGTATCTATATATCTCTTGTTAATTTGTAGTATAAATGTTTGTTGTTAAAAATAGCGTTTTTCCGAATTTAGTTAAACAATGAAAGATGACAGCCAGTTATGTAACTGTTAATGGAAGCACTGAGTTAGTGCAACAAAGAGTGTTTGGTGCATATGTTTATATCCATACTTGCATTTTATACTTACTTTATATCTTATTCAATGGAGAAATTATAATTTAGTTTCAAGAGGGGCAAAAGCAATGTTATTTTTCCTAGAAAAATTAGTTGTATTTTCTTTGTTTCACATCCACTACCTTTTCAAATATAACTATTTGTCACTGAAAATTTTTAAAACTTTGAAATTGTAAATGCGTTTGATGTTAATACTGTTACTACTTCCACTTTGATTTACTACTAACATGATTAAATGGTTCATTGTCAAAATTTTGCCATATTCATGTTTTGGAGTTGGGACTTGTTAGACTTTTTTCGTCTCTTTTGTGGCCTTGAGGAAATTTAAAATTTATTTTCTCTTTCCTACCTTCTCTGAAGGTACTTTGCAAGTATCAGTCCAAACAAAAACACTATATTCTATTCTTAGTAAATCCATTAAACCAGAATAACTTTAAAATACATGTGTACTTTGTTGTAATTTGTTACTTACAATCAATGTGAAGTACTTTTCATAGGGACTCATGTTTTTTTCTCTACAGCCCAAGTGGGTATTGGCTACAGGGTTTTTTGCTGTTCATTTTTTTGTCAGAATCAATTTCAAATCATAATAAACAAAAAAATTTAAAGTTTTATTTATTTTTTTAGAGTATAGATCTTTGTTGTTGTTACTTCAATAATGGCTCAATAAATAGTAAGCTCAGATAATAAACACTATGTTGAATCTTAAAACTTTTTCTTAATAAAGTGTTATCAGATTCTTTGCATATATTAGCACAATAAAGTCTGCATCAACTCTTCCAGATATTCTTCATCTGTATTTGGAAATATGGTTTTGTAATATTTGTCTTACCTTTTTGATACAATAGATCATGTTTTCTTTTAATTAAACAAGAAGTGCTTTTATCTTAAAAAAAAAAAAAAAAAGAAAGAAAAAGGCGGGTATGGCTCACCTCTCCAACTGGAGGACACCAGATGGTGGACTCCAGGAAGACAGTTGCTTTGTTGTTTTAGCTTTGTATCACCGGCATACAACATCTGGCAAAGAATTAGTATCAACATTCTTTTTTTTAAATTAAAAGACAAATGTGATTGAATATTTGAGGTCTGGACTCATGAAATAAGTTCAAATTGAGATGAAGGGGGTGTTTTCCAGACTTCTAGGTCGGTCTCCTTAGTATATAGGTCAACCAGAAGCATGATA